AAAACCTTTGCCTGCCAGATGTACAACCTGCTGCTGTCCTATGATGGAGGGGACCACCTGCAGCCCCTGGAGCTCGTGCCCAATCACCAGGGCCTTACCCCCTTCAAGCTGGCTGGAGTAGAGGGCAACACTGTGGTGAGAGGCTCCCCAGCCCTAAGGTGCCTCTCTAGTGACCCACATCCTACTTTGCTGCCCTGGGAGGAAACAGATGTTAATGCCCATTCCTGATGCCTGGGTCCCTTTCCCAGCTCAGATTGAGGTTTTCCTCCTGATTTTTATCTTGCTTGTTCCTGTTCCATTTCCTGCCCACTTTCTCTGACCTGAGTATTGGGGATTTAATCTAGATCCAGGCTTGGTGTCTGTAATGCCCAGGGCCACGTATCCTACCCAGAGCAGCAGCCCTTCCCTTCTCTCCTCTTCCTTCCTGAGCTCTGGAGAGCGTCATGGGGAAGGAAGATGAATTTGACGTCAGAGTGAACATGGCTGATGCTGCCTCTTAAATGAAGGGCCACTGCCCTCTCCAGGGCTGCTCTCCTCCTGGATGTGCTCCTGCTCCACCCTTTATGGCATCCCCTCTGCCTGCAGCTCCTGATGCTCTCCACCTTCCTCAGATGTTCCAGCACCTGATGCAGAAGAGGAAGCACATCCAGTGGACATATGGGCCCCTGACCTCCACCCTCTACGACCTCACAGAGATTGACTCTTCAGGGGATGAGCAATCCCTGCTAGAACTTATTGTCACCACCAAGAAGCGGGAGGTATGGGCGTCTCCCCAGCAGAGGTGGCTGGCAGGATGTGCCAGGGTCTCAGAGTCACCTGTTCTACTCTTTCTGCTTGCTGCAGGCTCGCCATATCCTGGACCAGACTCCAGTGAAGGAGCTGGTGAGCCTCAAGTGGAAGAGGTATGGGCGGCCCTACTTCTGCGTGCTGGGTGCCATCTACCTACTATACATCATCTGCTTTACCATGTGCTGTGTCTACCGCCCCCTCAAGCCCAGGACCACTAACCGCACCAACCCCCGGGACAACACCCTCCTCCAGCAGAAGCTCTTCCAGGTGATCCCCCAGGAGTGGAGGACTAACAGGGCAGGATGCTGCTCTCTGCTCTTTCTCAGTTTGGTCCCACTGCCCTGTTCTCAAATCCACATTTCTCCCCTCACATGTCTGATATATGGGTCCAGAGTCAAAGCACGCACACACACACACACACACACATACACACTCTAGGAGCAGCCTGAGACTAACCAGACCTAAGGGGTTAGAAAGGTCTGGGCTTGTGGCTGTAGGCTCCAGGAAAGATAGAGCAGATGCATGAGAGCTCTGGATGCTCTGAGCATCTTTTTCTCCCCTCAGGAGGCCTATGTGACCCCCAAAGATGACCTCCGGTTGGTGGGGGAACTGGTGACCGTCATTGGCGCTGTGATCATCCTGCTGGTAGAGGTGAGGTGTGGATGGAATCCACAGTGAAGCTGTTGTCCCAAGGATCCAGCCTAATGCAGGTCTTCAAGTGCCTTTGTGTCTCCCCAACTTCTCTTCAGATACCAGATATCTTCAGGTTTGGTGTCACTCGCTTCTTCGGACAGACCATCCTTGGCGGACCATTCCATGTCATCATGTGAGTCTCTGATCTCTCACTCCCATCCCTTTCCTCTTAGGGCTCCAGTTTCCTTCCCTGGATTCCTGACTTTCTAATCTTAACTCCAGAGATCCTTCTCCAGTAATGTGTGTCCCTATGTGTGCACAGGCTGAGTCTGAATGTGTGGGGACTGTCCCAGTTACACCCTTGCTGCCTGGTGGCTTGTATAATCCCAGCCCTCTACTCATCACCTCCCTTACTGCTCTCCTCCTAGCGTCACCTATGCRTTCATGGTGCTGGTGACCATGGTGATGCGGCTCACCAATGCAGATGGGGAGGTGGTACCCATGTCCTTTGCCCTGGTGCTGGGCTGGTGCAATGTCATGTATTTTGCCCGAGGATTCCAGATGCTGGGCCCTTTCACCATCATGATCCAGAAGGTCAGTGCTTTCCCCCCATGCTTCCTAGAGAGAGGTCCCAGAACCAAGCTTTTGTAGAGGGCCAAATACTCAATATTTCAGGTTTTGTAAACCATACATGGTATTTGTTGCATATTCTTCTTTACTTTTAAAAAACAATCCTTTAAAAATGTTGAAACCATTCATCCATCCAATATTAAAACCATTCAAAAGCCACAACAGGCCAGGTAGATTTGACCTGCAGGCTATGGTGTGCTGACCTGTATCCTGGGGCATGGAGCTGTTAGAATAACTGGTGCTAGACCTGCTAGCTCTGGATGGAGCAACTGCTAAGAGAATGTGTGATGTTCTCTTTGTCTCATCCCCTTTTAGATGATTTTTGGTGACCTGATGCGGTTCTGCTGGCTGATGGCTGTGGTCATCCTGGGCTTTGCTTCAGGTAAATTGCCTATCCAAAATGGGGGCCATGGAGGAAGGGGTTGGGGGGACCTACAGGGTACAGAATGCCTCTGGCTAAACTTGAGGGAGGGAAGGAAGGAGGGGGGAAGGCAAAAGTCAAAGGAGGCCATGCAATGTCTGAGGATGCCATATCCCTCAGAGGTAAGGGAAAATTGGGAGTCTAGGGAGAATGGCTCTGGGGATCAGGAGGCTGAATCTTGTAGAAAATGTGGAACAAAAGAACCTGGAAAAAAGGAGAGTTGTGGGCTGAGATGATGATCCTGGAGATGAAGGGAATAGGAAGGCAATGTGCAGCAATGAGCTGGCCGTGGGCTGGTCATGATACAGTTGCCATGGTAACTCTCACCCCCTTGGGTGGAGCAGCCTTCTATATCATCTTCCAGACAGAGGATCCCGACGAGCTGGGCCATTTCTATGATTACCCCATGGCACTGTTCAGCACCTTCGAGCTGTTCCTCACCGTCATTGATGGTCCTGCCAACTATGACGTGGATCTGCCCTTCATGTACAGCATCACCTACGCTGCCTTTGCCATCATCGCCACACTGCTCATGCTCAACCTCCTCATCGCCATGATGGGCGACACTCACTGGAGAGTGGCTCACGAGAGGGATGAGCTCTGGAGGGCTCAGGTGAGCTCCCAGTGGCTGGGTAGGTTCTTGTAAGTCATCCTCTTCCTGCCCAAGAAATGCCTATGCTCAGGTAGAAGCAGGTATTCTGGCCCTGTGTGTGTTGGATAATTATTGCACAGTAAGCAAAACAATGCCAAGTGTGCAGAAGAATTGGATTAGCAATACAATAGAGAAATACTGGACTCTCCGGAAAGAATTCCTCATTGTTTTCCCAACACTGAAAACCTTAAATCACTCAACAGGAATCAAAGCTGACAGTGGCCAAAACTACATTCAGTCAATTTTGCTTCCAAGTGAGAATGGAAGTTTCAAGTTTTCTTGACAATATTTAAGTCTGCAAAATCTGACCCAGAAAAAATGGAAGTGTTAAAAATAATGCCATAAAAATTCCTATCCTAGCAGAACCTATCTTCAGCCATATGATGAAGATGGGCATAAGACAATTAGATGAATCAAATCCCCATTTAAAAATATACTTAGAAGAGAATTGAGATCAACAAAGATAATTTCAGCAAAATAAAAACGGAAATTCCAAACACTAGAAGGCATTTAACTATGAAAACAGTGAAACCTAAGCTGACTAAATGAGATTTGCTCCGGGAAATATTTTCTCCTTGAAAATGTACTGATACTAGATTTGCAAGTAGGTATTTACGAAGACTCCTTTCTGTTTGCTTCCCTCATCTCCCTATCCTCCTTGGAAAAGATCTCTCCTTCTAAGGAGAATCTCCACATCCCAGCTATACTCTGCCTGGCTTTGCCATGAACGTCACATTATTGGATGAAGATGTGTGGGGCTCAAGTCCCATCAAACTCTTCCTCAGAAGAGGCTCAACAGAGTTCAAACCACCATTCCAGATCAGGGGTGTGGCTCACCCTTCTGGGAAGCCATGAGCTGCCGAGTTTCCTGGCTGTTGTAAAACTCGGCTCTGCTGGGCCTGCCCTTCCTCCCCCATCCTTCTCAATCTACATTGCCTGGTCTGTACCTGGGCTCCTTTCTGACTCTCCCCTTTGTCCTCACATGCAGGTGGTAGCCACCACGGTGATGCTGGAGCGGAAATTGCCTCGCTGCCTGTGGCCTCGCTCYGGGATCTGCGGGAGCGAGTACGGGCTGGGGGACCGCTGGTTCCTGCGGTAAGTCATGGTGCTGGGTAGGYGTCCCCTGAGCAACCACTTTTGCAGGGGACCCCTTTGCTCAGACAACCTCCRGCTCCCAAGGGCCCCATGGAGACCTGGGGTGTGCCCTAGGCCCATATCCACTGAYTGGACCATGACTACTGAGAAAGTGGCCCCAACAGGAGCATCCTAAGAGCTGGCRGACCAGAGCCTGCTATTTCCTGGGCCCTGGCTGCGGAGGGCCAGGTGTCCCATGCCCATGACAGTTGCAGAGGGGAAAGGCCAATAGTGGTGGGGCTGGGAAGCAGGTGGATAGGAGAGAGGCCTTGGTCTTGCCTCTCTTCTTCGGCTCCTGCTCCCCCTCACGTCCTGCTCCTGCACTCCACAGAGTGGAAGACAGGCAGGATCTCAACCGGCAGCGAATCCGTCGCTACGCACAGGCCTTCCAGCCGCAGGAAGTCCTCTGCTCTGAGGGCTTGGACAAAGACTCAGGGGGAAAACCAGAGCAGTGCCGTCCCTTGGGCCCCCACCTGTCCTTTCCTACACCCTCAGTGTCTCGAAGCACCTCCCGGAGCAGCATCAACTGGGAAAGGCTCCGACAAGGGACCCTGCGGAGGGACCTGCGGGGGATGATCAACCAGGGCCTGGAGGACGGGGAGGGCTGGGAATACCAGATCTGAGCGCTCACCCCCACTGCGCGCATGAAAACCAAACAAAGCAACACCAACAAGAACCGAGGGGTCTCATCTCCCAGTCCAAGGGGGAAAGGGGCATACCATGAACGCTAAGCACATGGGGAATCACTGCTCCAGGCCTCCAGGATGCCTGGAGCTGGGCAAAGAGAAGCTGAGGCGACGGTCCTTCCTCCTTCTCTCATGGAAGTCCCACTGCACGTCAGAGCACTTTAAGGACAGGTTTGCCTTCTCAGGCACCTGTCTCCACCCCTGTGTAATAAGTAGGAAGGGAGAGAGCCCTTTCCAGGGTGCTCCAGACAGTTGAAGGGGGAAGCGCTGGGTTTATGGAAAGGTGCCTGGGAGAGGAAGACAGGCACCTCTCTAGGAGTAAAAAAGCTGGGCTGATTCTCACCACCTTCCAATAAAGTCATCTCCTGCTCCCCGTCCCACGGGCTTCTGCCTGTCTGCCTGGTGTCTGCCCGCCCCCTCCTCCACTCCGTCCCTCCTTGCAGACTGAGGTCTGGACACACCTGAAYGTTCAAATTCCCTGCCCTTTAATGTAGAGGAGGCTGGCAGAGGGTGGAGGACTGGGGAAATGCAGCGTCCAGAGGAGGGTTGGGAGAATGCAGCGGGCACAGAGGCGGAGAGGGAGCCTGGCTCACATCTCGCGCATCCCTCCTCGGACCTGTGTCCAGGGCTGGGTCTCCGGCATCATGGGCTCACAGCTTCCTGCCCAGACCTCACTCACACCTCCACTGAGCCTGGCTGCCTCAGATGCTGCCGGAGGAGCTGGATGTTGTGCAGCAGTTTCTTCTGGTGGCCAGCCAGGGTGATGCCCAGGGCAGGCAGGTCTCTGGCGGGGAAGGAGTGGGTCAGAGCTGGGCCAGTTTCTCTAAGATCCCAGACACCCGCTCTCCTGGGGCCTRGAGCTCCTGCCCACCCCGCCACCCCTGCTTACTCCAGGCTGAGCTGAGCCACATCACTGAAGGTGCAGAGGCCGAACTTGGAGAAGTTGTCCTGGTAGCACTCTAGTCCAATGGCCGAAAGCCAGGCCTGGGGCGAGTCCAGACAGGGAAAGTCCAGGACCACAGGGTTCAGGAGGGCCTGGGAAGGTCTAAGGTGAGGAGGGGCAAGCAGGTCAAGTTCTCCTCTTCATCTTAGCCCTCTCGCCTCAGTTTTCTTTTTGGCTTTCATTGACCCTCCCTGGCTTTCCCAGGTTCCAGCCCCAAGTTCCAGACCTGTCCCCTGCGCCCCCATCCGCTTGCAGGGTGTCTGGCTTGCGGATCATCTTGTCAAATGCAGCCACCAGCTGGTCAAAGTGAGGCCGCCGGGCACGGTCCTTCTGCCATGTGTCCAGCATCAGCAGATGTAGTCCRGGAGGACAGCCTGGAGGCGGGGGCAGCCGGAACTCCTGCTCTATTGCATTTAGTACCTGGGGGTCAGGGGAAGCATCTGGTGACAGAAAGCTCTTGCTAGTCATGGGGGGAGCGTTAGGAAAGCAGGGATGGACTGTAATCTGGTGCCACATGAGTCTGGAGTGGAGAGGGAACTCTAAAGCATGGAATATATCATGATATCTGAGAATGTGAATGGAAGGGAGGACTTGGAATACGTGGGCCTGGGAGGGATCGTGGTAAGCTCACCTCTTGCTCACTCATGTCCCAGTAGGGCCGTTCTCCATAGCTCATCACTTCCCACATAAGTATCCCAAAGCTCCAGACATCGCTGGATGTCGTATGCTTTCCGTGTGCAATGACCTCTGGGGCTGCCCAGCGAAGCAAGCAACTTGAGCCCTGAGGAGTGAAGTCAAATGCAGCAATAACAAYAATCCTAGCGAGAGTCACATTTACTGAACAGCTACTCTGGACTCAGACGTATGTTAAGGGTTTCACACTGAACATCTCATTGAATCCCCTGAACACCCGTGTAGGGTGGATATTAGGATGCAGAAGTGAGGCATAAAGAATATGAACTTGTCCAAGGTTACAGTGCTGGAGATGTGCTGGGGCATTCTGGATTTGTCCCCAGCTGTACTGATTCTGGAGCCTGTGAATCCTCCACATTAGGGGGAGGGCAGGAGTGGGTGCCAGTTTGACACTCCTGCCCTCCCAAGCCCCCTTTCTTTGCCTTAGTCCCTGAGATCCTTCAACTGCCCCTTGCTCAGGCTCCTCTCTCCCCAACACACGGGTGAGCCTCTAACCCCCAGATACCGTGCTATCCTACCTGGCGCCCACCCCAGATTCCAGCTCACCCCAGAGCCCCTGYTGAGGGAGGCTAAGCCTCAGGCTCTGCACTCACCTGAGGACTGTGGCCAAGACGGGCCACCTTGCACACCAGGTGGCTATTCACCAGCACGCTCCCGGCAGAGAGCGCTCGGTGCACAAAGGCAAAGCTGGACAGGTACTGCATGGCGGCGGCCACGCCCCGCTGCATGGCCACCAGCTGCAGGCTGCTGAACTGGCCCTCCCGTTGCTGAGGGGCAGAGGACAGAGGTCARCAACAGAGTGGAACCTGGGCACCCTGAGCAGCAGACATTAGCATGAGAGGGCCGTTGGGGGCAGAATTTGGGATCACACAGGCCTGGGAAAGAAGGATGAAGACCACCATGGGAGGCAGGGGGAGGGAGCAAAGGTAGAGGCTGTCTCCTGAAAGAGGTGAGGCCCCCAAGCTTTCCTGGACCCACGTACCCTCCTCCTCTACCCCAGCTGGACTGACCCTGAGGAAGCTGTCCAGGGGGCCGAGCTCCATGAGCTCTGTCAGCACCATGAGGGGACGGCTCTTGGTGACCACACCCTCCAGCCGCAGGATGTTGGGGTGCTGGAACTGGCCCAGGAGTGCGGCACGGCCCAGGAAGGTCATCTGCAGGCCCTCGGCACCCCCAGCCCACAGGGCCTGGATGGCCACGGCCTGCTCCCGCCGTCCCCGGGGCTGCAGTCGGCCCCTGCGCACTTCTCCAAAGGAGCCTGCAGAACGGGAGCAGGTGGCATGGGGGTCAAGGAAGGACCGTGGGCTCACAGTGTCCTACTGTGCTTAGAGGGATTCCTGGCTAAGGAGGGCTACCAGGAACCCCCAGTCCCTCCTTGTCCCTGCAGTACCTGCCCCGATGACCTCTTCAATCTTGATATACGAAGGGTCGACCTCCCGGGCAAGCTCTCGGATGGCCTGGCAGGGGTCGTCGTATGTGGAGGGGTCTGTGTAGTACTTTACCCCAAGTCCTGTAGGGAGGGGTGGGCTCTTGGGTGTGGTGCAAGGCTGGGTGCCCACATGCCCGAGACGTGCCCGCTTGCTTCTGGAAGCCGGTGTGAAGGAGTCCCTCAACCAGCCCCCAGACCCCCAGGCCCAGTCCTGGTCCCTCCTCCTGCCCACCTGGGCTGCTGTACTGCTGCAGCTGCTCTGTGTAGCCTGTGCCTCGCCGCTTCCTGCGGGACAAACGGGTGACCTGGAACAGTGGCCCCATCTCCACCCCTGTGCTGTCCCCCATGTCCCACTGTGGCACGGGGTTCAGGGTGGGGCTGGGGTAGTGGGAAAAGGCTGTCTATAGGGGGGTCCGCAGGGGTATCCAGGACATGAGTGGTGCTGGGCAGGTTGGGGAGGCTGGGGCACAGGGGCTCACCGCTGGAAGATGACAGCCAGGACTGTRATGGCCGCCAGCAGGAGGAAGGCCAAGGCTCCCAGGATGGAGCCGATCACCAAGGACAGCTTCTCTGGAAGCTGAGAGGACAGTTCACCTGGGGGACCAGGCCTCACACATGAGTGTGTGAAAGCATCTCATTACCCTAGGCACCCCCACACCACACACACACACACACACCCCACCTCACAGACCCACCCACACACATGAACACACAACAGGCATGTGCACACCTGACTGCAAATCCACACCTAGGCATGCGTATGCACAGATATACACTTAGTCCTGTACACGCACCACGACCCCTACAGCCCTACACATGCAACTTGCATATCCACATGACCCACACATTCACCCCTGCACACCCTCCCCAGCAGCGCCTGAGGTCAAGGGTCAGCCACGGTACCATCCTCACATCCTCCTTTCTCAGAGTCTCTGGTCCCGGAGATGCCGGGTCAAGGTTCAAAGCCTGGACAGTCTTGACCTCTCCTCAGTGTCCCCTTAGACACCCAGTTCCCCTCCAGGCACCCCCTCACCTTGAGGCAGCGTCTGGAAATAGACCTTGCCCCCATAGGGGCCATGGCCAGCAGCAGTCCGCGCCCGCACCTGGAAGCCATAGATGTGGCCAGGACTCAGCCGTGTCACGGTGGCAGTGTTGGTCTCGCTGGTCAGAGTGAAGGAGTGGGATTCGTCTTCTGCCTGGGGGCAACAGCCACTCACTGCCTGCACAGCCTGCTCCTCTTGCCCCTGCTCTTACCCCCAAGCTCTCCTCAGCTGATGTGGCTGTCAAACACATCCCCGGTGCTGCAGTCCCTTGGGACTGCCCATTGCCTCATGAGACCCCCATGCTCTCCTGTGGGGACTTCCAGCTCCTACCAGCCCTGCTGTGGTGCCCCCTGCTCCTTGCCCACCTGGTCATAGTAGCGGAGCTGGTAGTCAAGGATGTTCCCATTGGTCTGGTCAGGCTGGGGCCAGGACACAGTGATGCTGTTGGCGGCCCTGCTCACTTGGTGCACCACAGGGACTGCCGAGGGGACTGGATTGCAGGAGGGATTATTAGGGGGATAGGAGTCTCTGGGAGCAGAAAAATCCCTGGTGGGTGGAGGGCATGGAGCTTAGACTATGGATTCTAAGGCAGCCTGATTGGAGGGCAGGTTTGGGAAAGGCGGGCAGGGGGTTCTAAGGAGTTATGGGAGATGTCACRAAGCTGGATAAAAGGGCTTACCTTCATGACTGGTGCTGACATTGATGGCTGCAGCGTGGGGAGGGTCAGGGCTGAGCTCAGACACCCCATTGACAGCCTGCACCTCCAGGATGTAGGGTACATGTGCTCGGAGCCCCCCGACTAACACTCGACTCTCCGTCAGGCCCCTCT